TAGTTGTTTTTTTGGGTAGTGTTTTTTCTCTCTAATCATCCTTCTGTTATGATTTCCTAGATTCTCCTTGCTCTAATATGTTGGGGATGATGTCAGGCCTTATTTCAGACTCCCAAATTACAGCATCTTCTGCCAGGGAATACCTGTGGCAGCCTGGTGTAGCCCGATTGGTCAGCAGTCGATCAGGCTGGTACTCTCATATGACTCCTGAAGAAGCAGGAAAAGAGTGGCTGCAAGTGGATCTGGGTGCCATGAAAACTGTCAAAGGGATCATTATACAGGGAGCTCGTGGAGGAGACACAACCACAGAAAATAGAGCATTTGTTAGGAAACTTAAAGTCGGATACAGCTTGAATGGAATTGATTGGGAGTTTGTAAAGGATCCAAAAACAGACCAGGCCAAGGTATGTAAAAATCGTTATATTTCTGAGAAAACTTTCAACTGTGTTCTCTTTGCAAATTTATTAGTACAAAATAAAGTATAATTTTTGTATATAAATTGATTCAATTTTGATTTACTGGCCTTTTTTATGTCTGCTCCATTGTTTTGTAGTTGTTTGAGGGCAATATGCACTATGACACTCCAGAGGTCCGAAGATTTGAGCCAGTGGCTGCACAGTTTGTCCGTGTTTATCCAGAAAGGTGGTCTCCAGCTGGCATGGGCATGAGGATGGAGATACTAGGTTGTGACAGAACAGGTAAGATAATATTAATAATAATAAAGAAAATAATAAATATTGTATATTACCTCATATTTGTAATTAGAGATGTGATTTACAAAATCATGGTCGCTGATGGAAGTGAACCCCTAAATTTGGTAGTTAGTGGATTCTGCTTAATTGACAAAAACCTGGGCAGGTATTGCAATGTTTCTTTATCCAAAACTGTTTCAGTTAATATATATTTTTGTGCTGTGTTGCTCAAGTGATCTGTTTCATATCACATCACAGCATTTCAATGGGATTGAGGGCAGGACCCTGCCTTGTCTATTCTAAAATACATAATTTCTGTAAAGATATAGCAATCTAAAATATTTTATGTGGCGCCTGTTAAATAAGACTGGGTATTATTGTAACTTGGATAAAGATCGGATCACATTTTATGAGCCATTTATGCAGAAAGGCAGAATATTCTTAAAGGCTGCCAATTTTTTTTTTCTCACAAAAGCATATTTGTAGCTTAGATACATGTGTGTCTGGATAGACAATTTCCATATTTATATTTAAGTATAATCAGAAAGATTTACTTTTTCCTGGGACCTTTGTGTTTACTGCATACTTTTTAATATATCAGTCATATATACAAAATAATCATCATTCTGTAGTATCTATAGCATTGTGGTTTTTCTATTTCTTTCTTTAGCTCTTAAATGGAGGTTGCTTTGCATGTGTTCTTATTATTAAACTGTCAATATAAATTAAATGTCAACTGTTTGATATAGGCTAGTAATGGTTTTCTTTGTTATTATCATAACACTGATATTATTGTTTTTTAGCATTGTGTTATTTATTTCTGAACCAGGAAATTGTGCTCTAACTGCTTCTAATACATCTTCATATCTTTTGTTTTCCTGATATGTCTTCTGTTTTTTTAAAGGAGAGAAGCCTTAAGGTGTACATACAGTCCAAACACTGTCCTTATATAGAAACTATATTCATTTCTAAGATGTGTTAATATCATCCAACTCCACCTTCAGAAATTCCCTTTGTACCTGAAATAAAAGCTTTATTTTCATAGCATAACGTCAACCACCCATTTTTGATACCTGGGCTGGGCAAGATTATCTAGAAAATGTCATTTCATTTCCATATTGTATATTGAAAGAAGCTTGCTACAGAATATACCATTGAATCATTGAAAACCAATATCTGCTCCCCAGATGTGTTTCAGGGACAGCCTCTGGAGCTTTCCTACAGCACATCTGGGAAACACATCTCTCTTGACTGCCTTTACAGGAAGCAGAGAAGAGTAGTCCCTATAATATATAACTCTTCAGTGGTCAGCCAAAGCACATAACTCACTCCCCTGTATTTTCTGTTGGATTTATAGTCTTTTTAAGGAATATAAATCTTTAAGATACAAAAAAAGAGAAAAACATATGATAAAAGTATGGTATAAAAAAGAGTATTTAATAAAATAATAAAAAGAGTAACGTATGATAATTTACATAAATATTCCTTTGATAAATTACATAAATCTATCATCTACATAGTTAACCTGAACTACAATACAAAAAAGGCTGATGTACTAAACAACATGGAGCAGTGGGTAAGAGCCACCAATTTGGTTTCATTCTCTGAGAGCTAAATCAATGAATCTGATTTCTGTGCTCTAGTTTCATTTGACATCATGCTGTTCTAGACATATCTGGATGATGACACTCTTTTCTATGAGCTCTTCCTCTTGTGTCGTGATTATTTTTGCACATACTTCTGCTATTGGAGGCAGCATGCTATCTGCTTTATGTGCAGGACCACTTTTTATCTGCACAGACCACCAAACAAGATAACGGTGGAATAGTTTCATGCTTCCTGAACTATAGGGAAGGGAACCTTTTGACTTTCCTCAGCATCCCCCTTATCCCAACAGTTCTCATGCTGAATGTAGCCACAAATGCCCTGAGGTAGCACACAATATGTGAAATATTAAGGCTTTTTTTGTTACCCCCTACCCTGTACCCTGCTGCCCAAGATACTGGCCATGTGTACCATTATGGAAATAGAACCCTCTCTGCAAGCTATATTTTTAAGTAAAGTTGGGCAGATATTTGCTAATAATGTGATCAATCTGTATACCGCTAGCAACCTTGCAAAGCTCTGCCAACAGTGAAGGGATGTCCTTTTCCCCATGGTATTTAAAACAATCCTTCACTTTGCTTGCATCAGTCTCCTGAGTCAAATAAAACATTTTTTGGCCCTAGTGTGCAGTGATCACAGTAAAGGAAGGCTAATCGTTTATCTCTAATTGAAAGCAGTAAGCAATTAGCCATCTATGGAAGTTCTACCGATGTTTATAGCCATTATTAATAAAAAGTTTATTGATATTACATGGGACAGGAAAAATATTGTTTCAAATATACAGTTGCAAATGAAGGTTGACTATTTGCAGCTGTTATATAATCACCTCATTCCATGGAATACAGAGACGTAAGAGTGGTGACTTCTTAATCCTGCCTGTCCTCACCTTATTCTTACTTTAAAAAAAAATTGAAAACAAATCTCTTCCCTCGATATTACATGCCAGTCTTGATCTTTGGACTATGTGAGTGAAGTTGACAACTGGCACCTCTGCGTTCCTTCCTTTTCCGCTAGTTTCAGAAATCAGAGTACAGCTGCCCGAGGTTAATGGCTGGCCAATTCTAGGCTGAGGTTCTCGATGACTAAAGGTTGAATATATCAGATGTCTTTGGGTCACTAAAGGAAGAGACTCTTTGGTCATGGTTTTTAACTCCCTAGTGAGCTGTTGTCTGATGTTCCACTGGAGACTGTAAATTCCACATGGCTTTGGTTAGCCAAACACTAATCACTCATCCCTAAATTACCTATATCTTCCTTTAACCCATTTAATGTTTAAAGAAGTTTATCATGCAGTGTGTTGGTATACTGTACAAGAGAAAATATTTAACCACCTCAGGTAACTCATGTATATAATGACCCGGAATAACCTTAGCAGCAATTAAGCGCTGCTTCTCTGACATTTAAACATCAATTATACTGCCTCTTTTGCCATTTTATAGAAATGAATTAACAAATAGATAGGTTTTATAAATCTAGTTTAAATAGTAACCTCTGCTTTAAATTGATATTTTAACTTCACTTTAAGCACCTTGTCTTTTCAATTTTTATTTTTTGTTGAGGTTCTATTGGTGTGGTTTTCCTGCAGCAGCTTGTGTTTTCTCTTTAAGGCCCCTTTCACATGGGTGCCTTCAGTCCTGATCAGCAGGGCATGAATCCAGAGCAGTTCGGAAAGCATGTCACCGATGTGACATCCATTTCCGTACAGTTTTTCCCTTCATCTTGCGATGGAGGAAAAAACTGAAATTACCAGACCCATCTTGGTCTATGGGGAGTCAGATTACTCCCAATCGACCATGATCAGGTATGTCAAAAAGGATCTCTATTCTTTTTGTTTTTCTGGATCTGGCCAGAGTCGGGGATAATTGGATGTAAATGAACAAACATCCGTTTAGATCATAGACTAACATTGGGCTTCCCAACAGATCTGCCTGAAGAGATGACAGTTTAAGATCTCGTGTCTGTAAGTCCTGTGAACCCTCTCTAGATGAAGCCATTAGGAAAGATCAGTCAGGTCAGATCCTGCCCCCTGCCACTCATATAAACGCATCTTTAGCTTGGTATAGCACTTAGTGTATTCAAAGATAAATATAGGGAATACTATGTCAAGGTTACATAACTGAGTAAAAAGAACTGCCCAGACTAGAAAGTAAAATGGCAGCTGTTTAGGAATAGTGAGCACCTTACGACTCATTCTCTAGGTCCAGCTTCCCTCTGATCTGTTCCGCTTTTCTGAGTCATGCCCCGCATCTGGTATGGATCTTTTTTGAAGTTCCCAATGTCTGCTTTCAATTATTGTACTGCTGGGTGTCTCAATCTGGAGTTTCTTTTTGCTGGTCTCTGCTCAGAAGGGGGGCTTTCTCCTCCGTTCACTTTCTATTTTGCTCACTGCAGAGTCTGATCGTTTCTTTTCCATTATCTCACACAAATGTTCTGTGCTGCGGTGAAATAAGGAGAAACGCAGACAATTTTGTCGTCACACACCAATCAGCTGCTTTTGCAGCTGTACGTTGGGAATGTTTTTTTGTCAAGACCTGCGTGTGGTTGGAAATATTGAAAAGGAAAGAAAAACTACTACCTATAGATTAGCTACGGACAATTTGACACCTTTAGCACAGGTTCCATTTGTCTGCTGCCTTCTAGGTTATGTGCATACCTTTCACAATAGTAGGTTTTACTTCTTGGAGCCTTTTACATTCACGTGTCATTTCAGTATATTAACCTCAAGGTCTCTGTTAATGCTGGTCTTAGAAACTACATTAATGGGAATACTGACCTTTCTACAATCAAAATTCAATTAAATACACGTATCAGTAGGGCTTACTGTAAGAGGACATTGCTTTATATTTCTAATAAAACATTCGCTGAAACCAGAACTTTATTTTTGTTGGGGTTATTATTGTTATGGCTACAGATAAAGATTCATCTATGTTTAATGCAGTGTCCTTACCAAGAAGTTACTTGACACTGATATTTTTTACCATATGTTCCTTTACACATCATGGAACCACTGCAAAATCCTTTGTTCACCTAACCTGCACGTGTGCTTTTAGTGGCATACAATCAGTAGAATGTTGATTCAGAATTTAAAAGTTGCAACATTGTAAAGAAAAATGACTAAAATATCAACCCAGATTGTTTACTTCCTCAATGTTTTTTCCCTGCTATCATAATTTTTCTGCTCGATACATTATCTATCTTACACTATCATTGGACAAAAATGTCTGTCTGTGTTGCTGTCTCAGAGTCCAAAGGATTATATAGTTTTTGTTTGGTGAATATTGTTGAAACTTTCTTTTGCCAGTCTCCCAACGTTTCCACAGTGTTGTTTTTACCAGCGTGTTAACCTGATAAATAACCTAATCAAATGCCCACTTGGTTTCAGCCTGGGCCCCTGCTATTCC